GGGGGGGGGGGGGACAAAACCAAGCCTCCTTGCTTGGAAGATATGCCTATAAAATTCACTTAAAAAAAAGATTTCCAGCCGTCAAGTTAGCCTGAAACAGCCGCATATTTTTTACAGAAATATGCAGCTGTTTCAGGCTACCATCAAGTGAGAAAAAATATATATTTCTTCTATAGGTATACAAAAAAATATTGCCTCTTAGAAAATCCCCCCCTCCCCAATCACTTTTCTAAAGGTCCGTCCCATATTTTCCTATACCAGCAGGTTAAATATTACAATATATATGTATAATACATAACTTTAAATTTTGTTAATAAAGTCTCTTGAAATCCTGACATTAAGATAAAATTTATTGTACGTGCCTTATCATACTGCAAAAAAATTGATCTGTTCGATTTGATTGAAAACAATAGTATCTCTGAATAGTAATTTTGCCCTAGTCAATATAGAGTGAACAAACTGTCAAATATTTGCTGTTTTGTAGTTAATTTAAGCACATTTAATATTTTGATCTCATCACATGTGACCCAGACTTTTTGCTTGGAGGTACATTTTCCTTCACTGCCAATAGCAAGACTGTGCTGACGTTTCGCACGCTTTCTTGGTGGCTCTAAACACTTAAGAGTTGTTGACCTTCCTTTGGCGACAGCTTGACAGCTACCATTGCTTGACTTTCGTTTTCTGCCAGGCTGGATTTTAATCTTTTTGCCAGTTCTGGTACTTCCCAATTCATCAGTGCCAAAGTTGAAAAGTGCAGATACTGAGCTCCCAGGCATTCCACTGCTTAACTTCATCAAACGGGCTGAGAACTGTTTCATACCTTTGGACAAATTCTTGTCACCTGTAGACTTCAGTTTCTCAACCAATGACTCACAGGCTCTTTTTACTGCTGTAATACCTTCTTGTATGTGCTCTTGTTTCAATCTCTCTTCAGTCACCACCAAAATGGAATCATCCATGCTTATTTCTTGGCAGTCTGTTTGTTCCAAACTATTAACTTGATGTGATTGATCTTCAGCTTCAATGCTGTGAGCGTTGTTGCTTTTAGCACGGAGATTTGTGTAGTAGGTAATGGGCAAGGTTTGGCCTATTGCAATCCATGCAAGCTTTTGTCTTGACTGTGGGTTAGAGATAGGGACAAAATTGATGCAGTTGGCAGCATTGGAATCCCGCAATATGTACTGATGCTTACAAGGGCTGCCATCTCTCCCCATGACACAACTGCAAACACCGATTGACATATCTACAAAATAGCTGAAAGAAATATAATTATTATAATTACATGGGTAAAAATGCACAACTTGTAACAAGTCCGCAATCAAGTTGTGTTTGCACTGCTTGTTGCAAGTCGTTGGAACAAGCCGTTAACAACTTATATCAAGATCGATGGCATTATCAGACTTGCTATAAGTTTGTTCTGTCTAACATGACTTTTCGATGCAGCCATAATATAACAAGTATGTTACAAGATTGACAACACAAGCTTGGAACAATATTGTTATAACCAGACTGGTCTAATAACAAGGTTGTTACAACTTAGTTGCCAACATATCTCGCTCTTCTATTGCGGCAAATATCAGTTCTTTCAAATGTTCTGCCTAAATTTATTCCAAATTTACCTTAATTATAAGCCTATCAGGCGTTTGTGGTTGTGATCTTGTTAATACAGCTTTTTCACACAGTTAAGAGATTATTGGGGGGCAAGCACCCCCCACCCCTCCTTGGCCCAACCCCCCTTAGTGTCCACCACTGTTACAACTTGTTCACAAGTTCAATGGGTTAAGATTCAGGGGGTGCACTATATTCCACCCCCACCCCCCGAAAAAACATGAGCACTGGGCAATACCTTTTGCCCTCTGCAGTATAAGGGTGTTTAAAGTTTTGAGGGGCATAGGTAAAAAAAGATAAAACTGCTTTCCAAACAGTACCTTTTATCCTCTTCTGATAAACTGGGAACCTCAAATACATTATGCTCATATGTAATGACTTTCTCAAGGTACGTTTTCTGTTCCTGTTGGGTTGGAATTTTGAAACCTTGTCCACCATCTACCTTCCGCTTGTTTTTACCGAGGAATCGGCGCCTAAAGTAGCCAACAAAACTCCCATCTGCAATAGACAATAGCTTGTCTTTGAAATGGTTTTCCAAGTCAGCAGTCAGTTTGTCAAACAATCCAACCACATTTTATTCCTTCACTCTTCTTAATAGTATATCTTCCAACACCAGAAACTGAGCTTCTACGAAGTTGTTAGTTTGATTTCCTCGGACACGCATACTAGATCGGAAGCAAAGGGCAAAGTCCTTCTTGATCACATAAAGGTTTCTGTAGTACTGTAAAAGGTTGGGATACTTGCCACATGCATCATCACTCAAAAGATCTTCATAACAATCATCAAAACTCTCTTCAGTCGTTGCATACAAAGCCTTTTTGAAAAGGCTGAAGACTTCAGGTCGATCATGCTGGTTGACAAGGTGGTCTTGTTCAACAATCCACCTCCACACTTGCTGCAAAACATGGAAAATGCATAACAGGAGTGTTGCAGTTGGCCATACACTCTTCCAGGCATTCCGTTCTTCCAGGCAGTTATCTGTAAGAATAATCTTAGGACCTGTAGTGGGACCACGACCATTAAAAGCATACTCAGGAAGGCAATCACTTAACATCTGAAACGCTTGCTTCACCGTGCTTTCTTTTTCGTCGCTTGTTATGACAGGGCCACAGGGTGGTGCACCAGATACACTATGTGTACACAACAAGAAAACATTCAGGTTATGCTCATCTGTATTTGAGGTGGCATCAAAAAATACAAGCTCGCCACACTGAGGCACTTCCTTGTGGACTCGCTTCATTAAAGGGGTGACAACACTTATAATAAGGGGCATTTCATCACCACAGTACACCTGATACTTTAGTGATGCATCTAGAAAAATATTAATATAACATTCTTATCATGTTTTAATAAGCTCTACACATTTTATACTTTAAGCATAGATGGACTTTCTGAGGATCCGGGGGGTATGCATACTCCCCCAGAAATTACTTGCACCCCCACCCCACACCCATGAAAGAAATTTGCATCCCCCAAGAAAATTATGCAGCTTGCTGATTGTAATTGTATGAATGAAAGATTATGAAAATTGGTTATTATTAGATAGTCTGCAGTTTGTTAGATAAGTATTCTTTCAATGAAGTATAACTGTAGAAAATATGGATTAATTTGCCTCATTTCGTCTAATTTCGAAAATTAAAAGCTAGGCTAAGGAGCTTCAATACTCGATAGTCAATGCATTTTTCTGTACCTTCAAATTTTGCACATGAGATGGACATGACAATTAACCTTTACAAGATAATTTAAAAGCAAGGATGAATTTTGAGATTTTGCTGCAAAATCTCAAAATTCATCCTTGCTTTTAAATTATCTTGTAAAGGTTAATTTGCCATTGCCATGCATTGCGCACTGCGATTTGTTGGGCTGATTTTAGGTTTTTCCAAATGCTAATGGAAAATATTTTCAGTTAATCATTTCATGACTACATTTGCAGATATCATGAATGTGCACCTGAAATCAGCTTGACAAATTGCAACATGTAAACATAGCTTTATAAGTTAGCACATGCCTGCATTGTTTGGCTGATATTCCTCCATTTTCTCTTCCAGCCTTTGAAACATCTCTGCATTCTTGCCACCAAACTCATCCTTTGTGTACTGACTATATAGGTAGTTGAAATCCCTTCTTCTAGGTGTGACAGATAGATCTATCTGCTTTCATAACATGATGGGTTATCTCATCGTTGCAGGATTTTTTGCGATTTTTAAGAAAGATCTGTCTGGCCATGGATGGTGTATTTCCATCTTCATACAATTTCCTTACTTTTTCAATAGTGCAGGATGAAATGTTTTTAAAGTTCGAAGCCTCAAGATTCAGTGTGTTGTGATTATGTGCCCACTCAATGTCTACAAAACAAATGCCATTTGTATTTATCTTTATAATCAACTGGAAAGGACAGTTCGTATTCTTCACTCTGGCTGCTGGATTTGTCTGTAGTTTTCTCTGAGGATCTTTGTTTGGGCTCCATCATGACACCGGTAGTAGGTCTGGACAAGATATCCTGTTGTTGGCTTTTTCTTTGTTTTTACTTTCAGAGTGATGGAATTGATGGTTTGAAATTCGATTAACCAGGGATGAACAGTCTCGGTAGTTATGTCTTCAGTTTAGAAGGACGATTTCTGTTCACTAATAACTGAAAGATTGAACTTATAACAGTAATCCTCTGGCAACTTCTCTGCAAGACTAGCTTCTATGCGTTCTTTTTCAACATTTAACAATGGAATACTCTGGAGAATCGATATCACATTCGTTAATAGCAGAATCTATTAACTCGTCAAAACCAGCAAGCATGTCCGCCATATTTAACATGCAAGGGCAACAGACAAAGAAGCGGGACAGCATGGGACAACGAGGAATTTTGCTCTGCTTACCCAGAATTCTATAAGACTCGGGATGGTAACGCCTGTTCCGGATCGTAACGATCGTTTACGAAAGGGAAAATTGCTTCGGCGCATGCGGAATATACTGTATATTATGTTTACGGTTCTCCGTACTTGTTTAAGTATGGCAAATTACATATGGAAATTTTTTAAATTAATTATGGTTAAATTCCTTTTTCGGGACGAAAATTTAAGTGAGGGAAGAGGGTTACAGGAGAGCGTTAGGGAAGAGCGTTATTTTAGTGGGAGAAGAGCGTTAGTCGGATTGTTTAATGTTTCTCGTTAAACTAGGATTAAGCTAACTGCATGACTTTCAAACAACCCAATGGTTTCAGATTATAATAAAATCGCTCAATGAAGGAAGTTATAAGTCATCCACCGAATTTGTCATTGCTAAATTGTGTTGGTTTCTAATAACTGTAATGATACATTGTTGGCCCATTTTTAATTATATCTGCTGAATGTTAAATATTTTTAATTTCCATGGTGTTCTGAAAGTTTGGTTTCGTTTCAGTATTGTCTATTTTAAATTGCTATAATATCATATCGGTGTTGCTTTTATAATCCCAGCCTTTGTCGTAAGTGAAAGGAACAGCTATATTCAGACTGACATATAATGAAATTAAAAACGGTAATTCATGCATGCATGGCATATTACCAGAAATCGTTTTGGACGAAAATAATAGTTATATTTCAAAACACTAGTTCTTTTTGGCATGCCAATTGCGATATATACAAAATCATTCCCTTTTGCACTTGTTTTTATTTTGTGATGTCGTTACTGGTATTTGTGTGATTAAAAGGACGAACAGTCAAATCATTATTGCGCGACTACTATATGCATCCTGGGGGAAATGAAAACAAATGTTACTGAATGATTTCGTTTTAGCATAAGAGCCAAAATTATCAAAAAATTAATTAACCAGATTTAACGATTATTGATACATTTAATTAAAAGTGCATCGAAACCGAAATAAATATGAAATTTTTGGATGCGTGCGGTTCTTTGAAAAATGCTGTGCAGCAAGCTTGAACCACATTCCGATTATTGGAACCTGGCGTTCAGTACATCGTCTATAAAACTGTCTTTCAAGTTTCGTTCTGGAAATAAACGCGGTAAATATTTGGGATTCATTTTTATTTTCCCCAGTTAATTTTAACACCAAAGATAGGCCTACAGTACATACAGTGTCCCATGGCCATAAACTAATCCTAATGTCCCTATCTTGGGCAACTTAGACTATAAGATTTTTTACTGTGTTGGTGTGTTATGTACACAGGTGAATATCACCTTTGTTATGTTACTCTGAGTATATATCAACACCGACAAGCTAGAAATATATGCCTGACCACCGTGGCCAGGCATATTTTTCACGCTTGCCTGGTGTGGATATCAAACATTAGCATCATTTTTTATGCCCCTTTGGACCAAATGTTGATTTCTTATTACTCAATACTTATAGTGATGTGAAGAAGTGAAAATATCTTTTTTCTTAAGTTAAACAGAAACGAAACTTTTAAAATTTTAAAATATCTAGTTACTTTTTTTGTTGAAATATTTTGATCTGACGATAATGAGTACCATTATATGCATATGGAGACCTATGGAGTACATTAATTAATATCACAGAAATTTAAACTCTGTGCTGCATGCGATAGTTTTATTAACTGACATCACAAGCGTCCTATATACTGGGTTATGTTTGATGCTGGGTGTTTTGAAATTAGGTTAAATACTTTTCTTAGAGTTATAA